TGTGTGTGTGTGTGTGTGTGTGTGTGTGTGTGTGTGTGTGTGAACCCACGTGTGATACCGCCATTTGAATCCTTTAACTTAGTGTATTAATAATAATAAATCTGGGTTTTTTTTATGCCGAAAGGCTTTTTCCCATTAAAAATTTGTTCTTTCAGTTTTTTGGTAATTTAATGCAGCTATCATACCGCCTAGGGTATGATAGCCTTCAACGTCAATTCATGGTGCCTCCTGTGAGGTTTGAAATTCAACCTCAACCGAAAACTGCGAGTGACGTGTGCACACAAATATTCTAAGTGAACAAAAAACATTCTAAAAACTCTCAAGCATTCCTCGACGAATCATCACGTCAAGCAACACTTCTCGTCATTCATCAACCGTCACTCCCGTTCCAGGAAGCATCACCGTCCAGCAGGTCTCCACATCGTGAAATAGTGCAAAAGATAAGTCTGCTACATACATCTTACCTGCATTCAATTGTTCAATTTTGCTCATTATATTGTTATTTTCCCATTCATTTATAATGTTTATCTTTGTGTTTCCGTCGTGAGAGTAGACAAGTCGTCTGCTTGCGCGCATGCGTCAGCGAGCGTATCTGTGCAGTTCGCAGCATTAACACGCGTCAAATTGAATTTGTTATTTGTTGATAACATCTTCCCTTTTCCAACGCCTTGCTTTTATTGCAATTTAACGTAATTTAATTAGGTTTTAGAACATTATTTGATACACTTTAACGGAATCTAATTGCTTTTTCTCAGTTAATTGGTAAATTCAATTTTGGTTCTGTCCATTGGTCACATTAAACTCTTCCATAAAGATTCTGCCATCGTCTTACAGAAAACTCGTTTAGGTTGGATCGTCGCCGGAGGATCTGAGATGCTGACTTCTTCAACAAGCACTCCTTGCAATGTCGTCAAATTGGACAAACTTATTGAACGTTTCTGGTACATTGCAGACTTGGATCATGAACCCGTTCGATCTCGTTATGAAATTTCCTGTGAACAACACTATGTTAGACATACCAAACGGGATGTTACTGGAAGATACATAGTTCGACTTCCATTCAGAGGTTCCAAATTCATTCTAGGTGAATCTCGTAGGCAAGCCCTCAAACGCTTTTCTTCCTTAGACCGAAAACTTTCATCGAATCCTCCACTGAAATCTGAGTACATCAGAGTGATGGAGAAGTACATTTCTCTTGGTCATATGACTCTTTCTGATGAAACTGAAGGTGGGTATTATCTTCCTCACCATGCAGTCATCAAGGATTTTAGTAAAACCACCAAGATTCATGTGATGTTTGACGCCTCGGCCAAAACAATGCTTCTACGCACATTTCGCTCAATGACACCCTCCTGGTTGGTCCCACTATCCAAAACACCATATTCGAACAAGTTCTTCGATTTCGCAATCATCGCTATATCATCATGGCGGACATTAAAGAAATGTATCGTCAAATCCTGGTTCATCCAGATGATCGACCGTTCCAAAAGGTTTTATGGCCCTATCAG